GGGCACCACACCAACGCTCATCTCCCGCTCGGCTCCTTCCCAGGTACGGCCTGTGGGCTGCTTGCCCACTCCCTGGCATCTCTAAGTGCCTCTGCAGGTTTAACGCACCAGGTGGGATTGCAAGTGTCCAAAGCATCCTGCTGGCAGATGTCACTGCTGCCAGCCTCTCCCACCTGAGACAGGTTCCCTCCCCATGCTGCTGGCCGAGCACCTGCTGGGCCCTCCAGCTCCTCACCAAGGCTGGAGGGCTCAGCACTGGTGGTGGCCTTGTCTCTGGGTGCCAGGGGAAAATGCCTGGAGAGCTTTCAGCTGTGGAGGTCCTCTTTGGCTGGGGAACAGGCTGGAGCACACTGTCACCAGGGTCTGGCAAGATGGCACAGACCCTGGTTGTTCCTCTACTGGCAATGCATGGCACCAGACAGGATCTGCAGCAGAATTCTGGGATGGAAGCATGGAATTCTCCACTCCAAGCCCTGTTCCAAGCCAGGCTAGTCCCAAAGCTTAAGCAGGATGCTCAGGGCTACACTGAGAATCTTCCATGCTGGTGATGCCACCACCTCTGGGCACTACCCCAGGGCTGCATAACTCCGATTGGTCCCACTGGTGCTAGCTTGTTCCCAAAACACACCACCAGTCTGAACAGGGGGCAGCCACCCTCCTGCTCCACATCCCAGCATGGCTTCCCTCTCTCTTCCAGGGCTGGAGAAGTTTGAGGGCTGCTACCTGCACAGCCGGGACTACAAGAACCCTCAGCCTTTTTTTGGAAAACGGGTGGTCGTGGTTGGCATTGGGAATTCAGGCATCGATATCGCAGTGGAGCTGAGCCACACAGCCAAGCAGGTGTGCTGAGAGAGCTCACAGGGATGGGACCCCAGGGTGGGGGGATCATCACCCACCATCCCCTGTGGGCTCCCCAGCCTCCAGCACCTGGCACAAGCACCCTGTCCCCTTGCTGTGGGGGTGGCTCCTGTGGTCCCAGTAGCTGTGCTGGCTTCCCTGTCCCTGGAGCACAGCAGGGGCCCAGCCCAGTCTGAGCATGCTGCCGTGCCACCACCTCTCTTCACCTTCCTTCCAGGTTTTCCTCAGCACCAGGCGTGGGTCCTGGGTGCTGCACCGGGTGGCAGACAATGGGTACCCCTTTGATTACAACTATGGCACTCGCTTCCTGCACCTCGTCCAGAATGTGGTGCCTAAAAGTATCCTGAATTTCTTTGTGGAGTGGAAGCTGAATGCCCGCTTTGACCACACACTCTATGGCCTAAAGCCCAAGCATGGGTGAGCACCCCAGCAGCACGCCAGGCACCTGCTCCAGCAATGCCCATCCCCCTGCCAGGACCTGAACCAGGTCTGTCTGTGCCTTCCAGGGTCCTTGACACACACCCCACTGTCAACGACGACCTGCCCAACCGCATCATTTCGGGCAGGGTGAGGATGAAGCCGAACGTCCAGGAGTTCACAGAGACATCTGCCATCTTTGAGGATGGCACCAGGGAAGATGTCGATGCCGTAGTTTTTGCCACAGGATACAGCTTCTCCTTCCCGTTCCTCGATGGCTGTGTGAAGGTGGTGGAGAACCAGATTCCCCTCTACAAATTCGTGTTCCCCCCTGACCTGGAGAAGCCAACACTGGCTTTCATTGGCCTCATCCAGCCCTTGGGAGCCATCATGCCCATCTCAGAGCTCCAGAGTCGCTGGGCCATCCGTGTCTTCAAAGGTAAGTCAGGCAAACCTGCTCTGTGGATGTGTGGATGCAGTCCTGGAGTGAGGGTAGTCAGTGAGATGGCCTCTTCTCTGAGAGGCACAGGCACACCCCTACACTGAGCTCCACAGGCTGCTCCTTCCCATCCCATGGCACTTGGACATGCCCCAGGTGTGAGCCCACGCACCACGGTGGTGCTGGCACAGGCACAGCACCCAGGCAGGGCCAGCACCACAGTGGCTGCTGTGTCTCGTCCTCCCCAGGGCTGAACGAGCTGCCCCTGCAGCACGACATGGAGGCTGACATTGAGCAGAAGAAAGAAGCCATGGCAAAGAGGTAAGATCCCTGCAGGGATGCCTTAGGCACAGCTGCTCATGGGCATCCATCCTGTCCCATGGAGGTGTCCTGGCACATTTCTGTGTGCCAACAGAGGGCAGGGATGTGGTTGGCCACACTACCCACAGTCCAATACTGCCTTCCTGGTGTGCAGGGCACCTGCCAGCTCTGTTTCCAGCACCCACCTGCCCTCCTCGCTGCCCACAGGTACGTGAAGAGCCAGCGGCACACCATCCAGGTGGATTACATCCCTTACATGGACGAGCTCGCCTGCCAGCTGGGGGTCAAGCCCAACCTGCTCTCCCTGTTCCTCACGGACCCCAGGCTGGCCATGGAGGTGGCCTTCGGTCCGTGCACGCCGTACCAGTACCGGCTGCGGGGCCCGGGTGCGTGGGCAGGAGCCAGGGAAGCCATCCTCACCCAGCAGCAGCGCATCCTCAAGCCCCTGCAGACACGACCTGTGGAAGAGAGCACCTCAGCCCCTGCCATTCCCCTCATCTTCAAGCTGATCGGGGCTGTGGCCATCCTGGCAGCTGTTTTTGCTTACTTGTAGGTGCCTGCAAGCTCAGGAAGGGAGGCTTTTGTCCTGGGGTGACTCCCTGAACCAGGACAGCTTTGCAATGGGCTGCGGGACTGGCTGGCCACCTCTGGCCCTTGGCAGCCTGTGCACCCCAGTGGTGGCAGAAACCTTCCTGCTGCCTGGCACGGCCCAGCTGTGGCCACACCATGAACTAGGGATGCACAGAGCCTCCCCAGCTGCCAAAATAATGCTTGGGCTCCTGCTCTGCACCTCCCCTTGGGGAATGCTGTCATGGACTGAGGAGGAAACCTGCTCACTGCAGGCTAAATTCCAGTCCCTCTCACCCAGTGCTCCGGGCTTTTCTGTCCCCTGTAACCCAGCTGTGCCAATTTTGCCACACGCACACCAGAGCTAAGCAGCAAAGGCACAGCACACTTTCTAAGTGGATAAATGCAATAAACAGCCAAGTGTCTGTCCTGCTACTGACACCATCACGACTCTCCGTGTGCTGTGGGAATGCTCATGGGTTTGAGATCAGCCTTGTAGCACTGGCCTATTACACCATAGGCTGACGTGCACACACGCTCCACAGCGAGACAGCCTCTCCCAAGGTGTGTCCCGCCACAGTGGGTCCTGGTGGTCACATGGCACAGCTCAGTGCCACCCTGGTCACCTGCACACAGCTCCTCCAGAAGGTGGTTGGGTGGGCTGGGGACCCAGAGTGGGTAAAGGGTGGGGGGTCCTGTCCATCAGATGCCTGGGCTAGTCAATGCCAGCCCCCACCCCCTCCCCCCACATCCCCTAGGTTTGTCTTCCACGCTGCAACCTGCCGAAATCCAAAGCACAGCCACATCTCTGCCCTGCCCAGGAAGTCCTGGGGCGCTGTCGGCATCATTAAACACTTACAGAACTTAATGCACCTCTTGCAGAGGGCAGGGCAGGTCAGGAGGTGTGGCAAGGAGGTGAGAGAAACCTGTAGATCATGTCTGGAAGAACATCTTGTAACACCTTGGCCACCCACAGGAAATATAGGGACAGTCACCCTCAAAACGAGCAGCAGCGGGCAGCCTCCCTTGAGGGACACGCCTGGCTCTGCACCTCCTGGCCACAGCTTCTCCCACACCCCTGCCACCACCACGCCAGGGGATATGACTGCTCGCAGAGTGGCCGTCATCGGCGCCGGCGCCTCCGGCCTGTGCGCCCTCAAGTGCTGCCTGGATGAGGGGCTGGAGGCCACCTGCTTTGAGAGGAGCAAGGACATCGGGGGGCTCTGGCGCTTCGAGGTAAGGCCCCAGCAGCCAGGCTGCTCCTTGGCAGCAGCACGGATGGGCTTGGGATCGGTCCCTGGCAGATAACCGTGCACCGTTCCCCTGCTTTGCATGCGTGCAGCAGGCAGCTTTCCCAGGAAACCAAGGAAAATAAAAGTGGTTTGGCAGCGTGATGCCAGCTGGTGTGCCAGGCACTTAGGACCCAGCTCCTGCTCAGCAGCAGCAGGATGAAGCCGCCTCAAGAACTTCAATCCATGGCTTGCTCCCGCAACGTAATTTCCCCCTTCCCATTCCTCCCTTCCCAATCTCATCCACACCTTACTCTGCTGTTTTGCTCTTGGTCACTCCCAGCCCTTGCCTACCTATCTTATCTTATTTTATCTGACCGCACTGTGGGTACCTGTCCTGCCCAGCCCTTGCCTACCTACCTTGTCTTATCTGACCCCACTGTCTCTCCCCGTTCTGCCCAACCCTGTCCTGGAATCATGGTTGCTCCTCTTTCTGCTTCTGTGCCAATCGCCCACAGATCGCCCCAGAGATACTGTGTCCTGCCTTCTCTGTGCCTTCTCTCCCTGCAATCCTGGAGCTCGTCTCTGCTCCCATCTAATGAAGCTGCTGACTTTAATCCCATGGACCCACCAACAAAATGACCAGTGTTCCCACCATGCTCTGATATGATTGTGGGAGAGCCCTGGGGGAAAACAGGTGGCATCATGTCAGAGTGGGGTCTGGGGTGGACCTGTCACAGTCCACTAGTTCTACTGTGATGGGTCAGGGACAGGGTTGGTGGAGCAGAACCAGAGCAGCAGCATCCAGCTGTCAAGGCACAGACCTGGTAAGCAGGAGCAACCACTCAGCAGGAAGCACCGGAGCTGCCTCCACAACTGGTGAGACCTGATGTGGCAGCAAGGGCAACAGCACCACAGGAGCTTTGGGAATGCTCTGTCTCATAGGGGCAAGCAGTGGAAGTGGGGAAACTGAGGCACAAGGCCACCATGACCCACTGTCACCAGTGCCTGGCCCCCGCCAGTCCAGAGATACATCCCCGTTTTTTGGGGTGGGGGGTCTCAACCACAGGAGAATTTCTGGGCGCAGGGATGGGTGGCACAACAACCTGTGGCTTAATCCTGCACCCACGGGGGAGGTGCCAGGCGGGACAGGCAGGTGGCCCATCGTTCCCCGGGCAGCGCTGAGCTGTGGCCCCCTCCCACAGGAGCACCCCGAGGACGGCCGTGCCAGCATCTACCGCTCGGTCATCATCAACACCTCCAAGGAGATGATGTGCTTCAGCGAC